CATTTGTCTCCCAGTCAGGTTGCAGGAGCAGTAGTTTGAGCAGGGAGGACCACATCCTTGACCAGCTCTTATAGGAGGACTCCAAGATGTTYCCAGTCCATCCCAGAAACAAAGTCTCTTCACCCTGTGTGAACCCTGAGGTCTCCTCACAGTTGAACATGCCCGGAAGACATCTTTAAGGAGGCTTCCAGGAAACACACTTACCAGATGCCTGAACCACCCTAACTGTCTCCTCTCAACACAGAGGAGCAGTGGCTTTACTCCAAGTCTCTCTCACGTAATTCCTCTGGTTCGTATTTTACTAACAGACAAACACACAGAAGTACACAGAAGATTACGATAGCCTGCTTTTCATGGCAGGCAGCAAATAATCAGAGGTGGTTTATTTTTGCACACTGCTGTAAATCTTGCAAGACACTAGTCTTATAAWTCAATTGTAGGAGCACCATTTTAGCTTCCTGGCTGTTAAAGTTGTTTTAGATTTTTTTTTTWAATTTGTAAAAAACAAAAACAGAGAAAAAAGTCAGAATGATGCACATTTTGATCATTGAACATATCACCAATTGTTAATATGTTCTGCTAATGTAAAGGCTGTTTTGCAAACCTTTGCTGCTCTGTAAGATCTCATTTCATTTGCAAAGTAGGAAAGATACCAGCACTCTGCAGGCTGATGGGGTCTGTTTCATTTATTGCAACAAGCATCAGATGTTCCTGCGGTCAGCTGGTTTCAACACACAATATGTTGCAAGTAGCGTTTGTCAGTCTGCTGAAARCTGACCAGGGGAAAAGGAGAATTCCAGGCTCTTTATAGTTTTTTTTGTGCAGTTTGAATATTTGACCATTTTTTATTTTTCTAGCCCCTCAAATTTTCCATCAGTGAAAGACAGCAACTCGTAGCTTTTACATGAACACAGAGCTGAAGATACAAGATAACTCACTTTATTATCTCGTTGACACATTAAAATTGAGCGATTTTTTAATCTTATTTGTGCAAAAGATGGTTTTATTTTTATCTTCTTAAAATTTCACAGTAAAAAATCAGCAGACATCCTCTTGCAAAAGCAAATAAGGCAAATAGTTATAAAAAAGAAAATATATATTTTATATCAGGTAAAAAAAAACAATTAAAAAGGAACAAAAGGACAAGCAGTGACATCTTATTATTGAAGGAATCTCCCAAATCTAAAAAGTTGGAAAAATTAGTTTTAAATGTGCTGCATTATACTGCCATCTCCTGTTCAAACTATTGCTTAAAAAAACTCTTACTAACATAAATCACATAAATCTAAATGTGTGTCACTTTTGTTTACACTCATTTTTACATTTTTTTTGTTTGCATTTTAATTTGCAGCATCTTGCTTCAAAACTTCAGGCAAAGATTTAAATCACCAACATTTGCCCTAAAAAAATGTTTWTTTGGACAAAATTAAAATGCTGATGGTTTTTAAAAACACCAATCAACTGAGTAGTGATGGCTTTTCCATTTCTCAAGTTTGTAAAGTTGATTAAAAAATGATTTGATGTCACCTTGCTAAAAAAGCTATAAGATTTAATTAAAATGTGAGTTTTTACTTAACTTATTGTGACAAAAGCAATAATAAAATGCACAATGCATACAGTTGAATCTTTCTAGAGGTAAATTGAAGCAAATTTGGCATCAACTATTTAGAAATTGTCAAACAAGGTAATTAATAAGGCTGGATTGTGATGTTTTGTCATTGTTTGAAAGTCCCATTGAGATCACAGATCTCTTTTTCAAGTGAGGTCTGGGCCTGAAGGCAAYCTGTTGCACATGTTTTTGGGGTGTGGGGCAAACCGGRGTACCTGGAGAAAACCCACACAAGCACGAGGAGAACTTTCAAACTCCACACAGAAAGACCCCAGGTCCGAACCGGGGATCAAACCCTGGACCTTCTTGCTGTGAGACATTGGTCATGCACTACTGCTGTCGCTGTCATTTTATCAATTAATTTTATTTTGCCTATCTCATATTATGACATCATCATCCTGAGACAATAGCCACTGCTAGCGCTCCGATGTAGCTCAAGCTTCCAAAATAACCTACCTATCTACAGTCAGTTTGGGCACCCTTGTTAATTTTCCTGATTYGCCTTTATAAATCATTGATTGTTTGGATTAAAAATATCAGTTAAATAAATCATATCGGGGACAAACACAGTGATATTTGAGAAGTGAAATGAAGTTTATATGATTTACAGAAATTGTGCAATAATTGTTTAAACAAGGCAGGTGCATAAATTTGGGCACCATAAAAAAACCTTACCTCAATTTTTAGTAGCTCCTCCTTTCACAGAAATAACAGCCTCTAAACACTTCCTACAGCTTCTAATGAGAGTCTGGATTGTGTCTGAAGGTATTTTAGACCATTCTTCTTTACACAACATCTCTAGTTCATTCAGGTTTGATGGTTTCTGAGTATGGACAGCTCTCTTTAAGTGACACCACAGATGTTCAATAATATTCAGGTCTGGGGACTGAGATGGCCATTCCAGAACGTTCTACTTGTTCCTCTGCATGAAGGCCTTAGTAGATTTTGAGCAGTGTTTAGGGTGGTTGTCTTGTTGGAAGATGCAGCCCCGGCGCAGCTTCAGCTTTGTCACTGATTCCTGGACATTGGTCTCCAGAATCTGCTGATATTGATTGGAATCCCTGCATCCCTCAACTTTAACAAGATTYCCAGTCCCTGTACTGGCCACACAGCCCCACAGCATGATGGAACCACCAACAAATTTTACTGTTGGTAGCAGGTGTTTTTCTTGGAGTGCTGTTCTTTTTCCTCCATGCATAACGGCCCTTGTTCTGCCCAAATAACTCTATTTTAGTTTCATCAGTCCACAGCACCTTATTCCAAAATGAAGCTGGATTGTCCAAATGTGCTTTAGCATACCTCAAGCAGCTCTGTTTGTGATGTGGGCGGAGAAAAGGCTTCCTCTGCATCACTCTCCCATACAGCATCTCCTTGTGTAAAGTGTGCTGAATAGTTGAACGATGCACAGTGACTCCATCAGCAGCAAGATGATGTTGTAGGTCTTTGGTGCTGGTCTGTGGGTTGATTGACTGTTCTCAACATCCTTCACTTTTGTTTATTGGAGATTTTTCTTGCTCTGCCACTTTTATCCTTGACTTGAACTGTGCCTGTGGTCCTCCATTTTCTCACAATGTTTCTCACAGTGGAGACTGAAAGCTGAAATCTCTGAGATAGCTTTCTGTATCCTTCCCCTAAACCATGATGGTGAACAATCTTTGTTTTCAGATCATTTGAAAGCTGTCTTCAGACTCCCATGCTACGACTCATCAGAGAAGATGCAAAGAGGAGAAAAACTTACTAAATGCCCTTTCTCATAAATGGACTCACCTGTGTATGGAGGCCAAGGGTCACTGAACTTACCAAACCAAATTTAAGTTCCAATAATTAGTTCTAAAGGTTTTGAAATCAACAAAATGAAAACGGTGCCCAAATTCATGCACCTGCCTAATTTTGTTTAACCAATTATTGCACACTTTCTGTAAATCATACGAACTTCATTTCACTTCTCTAATATCACTGTGTTTGTCCCCTATATGATATATTTAACTGATTTTTTTTATCCAAACAATCAATGATTTATAAAGGTAAAACAGGAAAATTAACAAGGCTGCCCAAACGTTTTCATATGACTGCATCAATCAAAGCTTAGTGAGAGAGAATTCCTGGGTCTGAAGGCAGTCTGAACATAAATAATGATGAAGTTCAAGAAAATTTTGGCTCCAATTAGAAACTCATCTGGAGAGGACAAWGATTAATGTTATGCAAACGGAGAAGCAGCACCAAATTAGTCTCTATGTCCTGTTAACAACAAAACAAAACAGAGAGGAAGTTAYATTCACATGGTCAGTTGAGTGTGCTAAAGAAAACTGCAGTGTGCTGCTCAATAAATGGATTCATCACATCAGAAACTGCAGCTTTCAACCAAGAATGGGTTTAAGGGGTTTGTCCAGTTTTCTCATTTRTGTCAGATATGAACATAATTATGCTTGTCAACTCACACTAATGTTATGTCTGTCAGGTGACATACAGTGTTTGCAATGATGCTCATAAAAAGTTTGAGGATAATTTATTGACACTGCCTTACTCTGGTTAAAACATTTGTAATCTGAGCTTAACATTTAACGAGAGTTTTTGGATAAAACTTTTGGCTTCATACAAAGTGAGAACCATACTGAACAAATTATTGGTAGATTCATCAGCTGGCTATATTGTCTGCACACATTRGCTTTTTAAAATCACTGAGAGAATACAGCTGGTTAAATGTSATCTATAGAGGGCAGCAGAGGCTTTATTTTACACTTTTGGACACTTGAGAAAGCAGAAAATATGAAAATGACCAAAGCAGAGGTGCAGTTGCTCCTATTTTGTCAATATAATATATATGAATTAAACAAATGAACAGTAACAAACGCATCAAAATTTCCTTTTACACTCAACTAATACAGAAGATAAATGATGGTGTTCGTGTGTTTACGATGTCWAAACCATGGAACCCAAACTCTAGCTCTTTGAACTGCTCGTTGCACACATGTTGACAGATTGTTTCCTAAAATACAAAAGCACTTTTTAAACTTGCACCACAAGGTTAAAAATAAATAAAAATAAATAAAATCATTTGATTCTTTAAGACAGAGGAAATAGTGGAACTTACTAATCTGAGGTTTGGCTATTTCCTCCCCCATCACTAAATCCCTCAAAGAAATATCAGAGGGAGGGGCCACTGCTCCTAATAAGCCCCCACAGTCATCCTTTGCTATTTCCCTTTCTCACTTGCTGTTTTATTTTTAGCTTTTAAACAACTGGTCTCCTAAAAATGGGCCTATCCTGAATGGGTTGGGGAAGAGAAGCGCGACTATGTATGGTATCCGCCCGCAGAAACACACAGGCCCGACAGCTCTCTGCTTCCCCCCCTTTGTGTCCACAGAGAAGGCCTGACGGTGTAATCAGGGAGCGAGGGGAAACGTTAAGGGTTTGGGTTGCTTTGGGGGATGCCTAAAAGCCTCCACTGACAGCTTGCTATCTTCTTCCTGCAGGATTTCCACCCCTTCCCTTCAAAGACCCTGCAGTTTCATTCACAGAAACCAAGTCATCCTCTGGAGGTGTTTGGGACCATGCTCTCCCTCTGGTTGTTTCTGCTCCCATGCCTGAGTCTTGTGAATGTGGCGCCGGCTGAAAAAGGTCTGGAGTTCCCACATTACGATGGGAAGGACCGTGTTCTCGACATCGATGACAAGAACTACAAGAGAGCCCTGAAGAAGTACAGCATGCTCTGCCTGTTCTACCACCAGCCCGTCGCAGACAGCAAGGAGCTGCAGAAGCAGCACCAGATGACTGAGCTAGTTCTGGAGGTAAAAGCAGAACGAGGAGGGACAAATCTAACTTTATAACATTCAAATCAAATGTGCAAAAGGTTTTTTTTTATTTTATTCATAGTTTTATTCACAGAGATTCCCCAAGATAAGTGAGTTCAAACTCTAATACAGCACTGTAACTTCAGATCATTTCAGCCTAATTTAATGGGTATCTCCATCTAGTTGAAACTCACGAACTGCGTTCATCCTGTATTTTTTTTCTGCTGAAAAAAAGAGCACGAGTAAACCCAAACCCTTTTACAGTTTAAAGGTGTTTGGGTTTACCAGCTTWAACGGTTCTGTTGCTGCTTCAGTGCCAAATAATTGTACAAAGCCTTGTTCCAGTTGCAAACAGCTGAAGCTGAGTTCCTTTTAGACTTGGAGGTAATCTGATCCCAAATGGTCTTACTTGCTACTTGTTTTACACATCACAGGTGGGCAGATGTACTTTAGCCAGGCACCCAAACAACATGAAAGGAGTCTGTAGCTCTTTGCAGAATGGGATGCACACACAACTGTTGTCGTAAAAAGGAAAGTTCAGTTAAATAACTTGTTGAATGACCTCAATTTAGGACAACTGACTTGTCTGACAGGACTTGAAGAACAAACAAAGAGTCAAGTCAAAAGTCCAATCTCAAAAATGCTATTTTATAATCATTTAAACATTTTAAGCAGTTATGTATGCGGAAACATTAAAATTTTATTAAAAGCACTCCAGGCTACATAGAAATGTTACAGCTAACTACCAATGTCACTATTTATGTTTTTAAATAGGCCTCAATAACATTTTTTATTCCTGATAATACAGTTATTTTAGTGCAATTTGAGTAAATGCATTTTAATGTAGTTGTATTTTCTTGTCCCTTATCATAAGGTTTAAACATTAAGTTTTAACACATCATTCATCACCTCTAGATAGCTGCATGTGTCAAACATTAAAATCTAAATCTATACTCATWAATTTAAAGATTAAAATCTATGAAAATATTCAGCTCCATTGCAATCAGCCAGCTTCTCTTCAAGGCTCAGTTAATATTATCAGGTGTTCCCTCCTCTTCAGCAGGAGGTCAGACACTCAAAGAGCTCCTCTACTGTACAGTGCAGAACAAATACCAGAACAATTATATACAGTATACTGTTACTTTGGTTATATTTAGAAGGTCTCTGAGTGATTATGTAATTGTATCTCTGTGCCCCTGAGTAYCTCTGTCATATTGGCAACTATGGTGCTGCTGTCAGTCTCCTATGTCTTAACTGAAATCTTTAAAGGAAAAAAATGTGTTGTGTTTCCAAATGCACAAAGACTTTGATTCTTTTCTTGCTGTTTAAACTTTAACGACACGTCTTTCAGCTTGCAGCTCAGGTACTGGAAGAGAAARACATCGGGTTTGGAATGGTCGACTCAAAAAAAGATGCAAAAATTGCAAAGAAATTAGGTGAGTACGTTTATCTTCTCAGTAAATTCTTTTTAAGGATAGATGGCAACTTTTAATCACATGTATTTAATTTAAAGTAGTAGTTAAGGCTGTCTAAAACCGAGTTCTGTGGAAAGTTTACAACAGTAAGTATCTTACCTGTTGTAGATAGCTCTTGCACTTGCAATAAACTACAGACAATGTGAGTTGTTGGTATTTTTCCACAATAATCAAAAGAACGCATCTGATGTGACTGACCAGAATGCTTCCATTTTGTTTTATTTGTCTCAGAAAATTCACCCAAGAACTTTAAATCTTATATGCATGCGTTTAGGCAAATTACAATCAGTTTTATTTTGCCTTTTACTTTTGATATTAGAGTCATTGACTCAAAATRTGATGAACGGTGTGATTAGAAACCTTGGAGTTATGCCTGAATGGGCTTGGATGGATTTTTCTACCATTCACACATTTTGTTTTCTTTAAACAGGCCAATGAAAAGCTTGAAAGCACTTATGCCACTAACACTTAGTTTGAAACACGACTCTAATGCAAAGATTATTAGTCTATTTAAGAGTATAAACAAATCTGTTCATACCACTTTAGCACATTTTTGTAAAATAAGCAACAAACCRTTATTTTCACATCCTATTACTGAAGCGTGCATAAATAAATTAGACAATCACGTTTAACTGAATCACATCAACAAGCTGTTGGGTACCAACACCTTAATCTGTACCTGTTTATATGACGGAAATGTAAATATTTAAATTTTAGCTTTAGCATGATGAAACTTTTGAGATTGCAGTTRAGACAGTACCAGTCCATTTTGTCCTAGTCCCTCTCAGACTAGCAACAGACTCCAGCTTTATTTCTTAAAAATGTGTTACTACAAAGAACTATGAACATGTAAAATATTAAAGTGTATCTTACCCCCCCTGTGAAAAGATAACTCAGCCCCAACGCGAAATTTGAAAAATGCATCAAAGTGGTTAGGGGAGGGGGTGTTAGAGAGTGGAGGTGTGGCCAGGATGAGAGAACGCGACAG